TGCACTCCAGCCTGGGTGACAGAGCGAGACTCCGTCTCAAACAATAAATAAATAAATAAAATGTTACAGTTCACAGCATGTGTTTCCAGAGAGGGTGTTTTCCTGACAATGCTTTAGTGGCATCTCTTCCTTAGAAAAGTTAGTTTAGTCCAAGAATAAAGTATAGCCTGAGAGTACTTATTTTTGAAAATACCTTACATTTTCTATAATAGTACAATACTCATATACTGTCTCTTACTATATCTAACCCAGTCTTTCCTTCAACACTGGAAAAGTGCATTTGAGGGACATGTTGTTCAGTAAATATACTGGCATCAGTGTACGGCTTAGGGATATGGTCACAATTTTAGAGGGACACAGAAACAGAGGCCCTGTGTAACAGATTCACCCAGCCCCTCTCATAGTCTGTATCCTCTTTATATTCAGGGATGGGAAAGGTTACCTATCGATAGTATTATCTGAATTTCTGAAAATGAAATGAGCATATAATGGCCAAAACCGCAAGTACTTTTGCACTGACCTAACGTCATAAGACTATTATTGTAAACTATATAATAATCCCCTTGAGAATTGCATTTTCTATTCAGGAATTGAGTAGAATATTTTAATTCCTCAGTTATGAGGTATTAAGGAATAAGGTGTTTCACAAAAAATAATTCAGCATATAATTGATGCTTGTCCATTTTTAAATGAGCAGTGACATGGAAGGGAAAGTGTTGGGTAGCCAGAAGGCCCCCGGGTGCCTCTTTTACAGGAATTCACACATAAGTCAAATGCTTATCAGCCATATCATGGCCATGATTATGAATGACATTTGTTATAGCTGCTATTCTTTCAATTGTCTTGGATTGTTTGCCTCTGTCCTAAAGAGTCCTAGATTATTCTGCCTGGAGAAAGCACCCACTGTCTCCCTATGCATCACCTACCACTCCACCTTAGTGATTCCGTCATCTGCTGGTTTAATACACAGTGAATTTGAGGCTGGTGTCATATACTTCCCTAGAGTACGTCACTGAGACAAATAATTTTCCTCACTATGGAAGCAGATTTTGTTTTCTTCTCAGCGTTACTATGGTGTGTTCACTAATACTGGAAGCTTTACCACTACTGAAGATGACACCACATCTGATTTAGCCAGGGCTCTAATTAAATAAAACATAGAACATGATCTGGAAACCAGCAGACAACGTAAAATAATACTTTCTAAAAAAAAGGAATCTGCCTTAAGTAGAAAATCTTTTACTGATGAGTTTTATAAAACCATGTCCATGGCCAGGTATGGTGGCTCACACCTGTAATCCCAGCACTTTGGAAGGCCGGGGGCGGGAGGATTGCTTGGGGCCAGGAATTTGAGATCCGTGTGGTCAAGAATGTAGTGAGACTCCGTCTCTACCCCCAAAAAAAAAAGGTATAAAAATATTTTTAAAACTATGTCAGTAGTTGTTTCTTAATTTTATTTGGTAACACATTCAGATGAGAGAAAACCACCATTTATCTTTATTAAGGACTTCCAAGATCTAGCCATGCTGTAGCCCTGACTTCACCCTGACTTGACTTCGCCCTGACTTCACAGATCTCACCTCTTTCTAGCTGCTCCCGTTTCCTGACAATTGTCAAGGTAGCTTCACTCCCAGTTTAAGTATCTCTTTTTTCAGTGAAATGTTCAGCCCTCACCTACCCAGTGTGCTCCTAGAACAACTTCTCCTAGGTCTTTTTTGGTTTTTTCTTGAGACAGAGTCTCGCTCTGTTGCCCAGGCCGGAGTGCAGTGGCGCGATCTCAGCTCACTGCAACCTCTGCCTCCTGGGTTCAAGCAGTTCTGCCTCAGCCTCCCGAGTAGCTGGGATTACAGGCGCCCGCCACCACACTCGGCTAATTTTTTTTGTATTTTTTAGTAGAGACGGGGTTTCACCATGTTAGGCAGGATGGTCTTGATCTCCTGACCTTGTGATCTGCCCGCCTCGGCCTGTCAAAGTGCTAAGATTACAGGCGTGAGCCACCGTGCCCAGCTTCTCCTAGGTCAGCATTAATCACAGTGTGTTGTCATTGTTCATTTATTTGTCTTTATCTCTCTGCTAGATTGCAGTACCATTTATATTTAGCACATAGAGCTCTGTAAATGTTTAGTGAATTCGTTGGATGATAAATAACTCCAGTGAAATTTATTTAACTTTATATATGCCATCAAAAATTTTGGTTAATAATCTGATGTATTAGATCAGCTATGGATCTCCAATTTCTGAAACCAACCAATTTCATTTTTAAGAAAATTTTTCATTTTAACAATTTGCTATTTGCATAGTCTCAGTGTAATTTGCAAGGACTTTCCAGCTTCATAAGCAAATTTCCTAAAGATTTCTGTAGCTAACACTGTAGTTGTGACTTGTGTCTCATGGATAGTTTACTGAAAGCAACATTGTTCTCTTTTATTTTTGGAAGTTTCTTTTCTGTGATTTTTTTTTTCCCCAAGGTGGTGGGGGGGAATTCTCCATTATTCCTATTCACTTCGTTTTTAAAGCCACTACCAACTGAATAGTTAGCAAAAGCAGTGAGATATGCCAGCTCTTTTTCTCCGCTAAACAAGAAATTTACCTTTATGCCTTGCATCTCAGATGCATAGGCATAAATTCCGGCCAGGCGCAGTGGTTCACACCTGTATTCCCAGCACTTTAGGAGGCCGAAGCAGGTGGATCACCTGAAATCAGGAGTTTGAGACCAGCCTGGCCAACATGGCGAAACCCGTCTCTACTAAAAATACAAAATTAGCCAGGTGTGGTGGCGTGCACCTGTAATCCCAGCTACTCTGGAGGCTGAGGCAGAAGAATCACTTAGAACGCAGGAGGCGGAGGTTGCAGTGAGCTGAGATCACGCCAGCCTGGGCTACAGAGCAAGACTGTGTCTCAAAAAGAAACAAAAAACAAAGAGCATTAAAGGGAGGCAGAATCTATTAATAATAGAGCAAACATGAAGGTAACAGTCCAGGGCCACATGTTCTCAATTGGAGGGCCTCTGAAATCTAAGTGAACAGTCTTTTTTGGGGGACAGATCAACAGTGATTGGATCTCTCTACTTACTAAACGTTTCTGTTTTTTAGGTATCGAATGATAACAGAAGGCGGAGTCAGCATCAATCACCGACAAGTAACAAATCCTGAGAGTGTTTTAGTTGTTGGACAACATATTCTCAAGAATGGACTTTCCTTACTTAAAATAGGAAAAAGAAACTTCTACATTATAAAATGGCTTCAGTTATGATGAAAAGTCCTTCATGTTGTCCAAATAAACTTTTAACCATCCTTCATTCTCAAGACCTCTGAAGGGCTGGCTCCAGAACTTAGACCTTTGCTTATGCAAATCAGAAAAATAGAACGGACTAGGACTCAGTGTGAGTAACTTCATTATTTTTATGGGCTGGTTAATAAATATTTGTTTAATGATGGGATGTTTTATTTTCTGATGTGCAAACCTTGATTACCATAAAAAACCATGACTTTCAGCGTTAATCTCTTTTTAAAATTATACTTCAGAAGAGAAAGAAATGCTGGCTTTCGTATCTTACCCTTCCTGCTCTCCTTTTTGTAGTGACGAGGAACAATGAAAAAGAGGTAGTGTAAGGAATTGTGAGGCAGGGTGCGGTGGCTCACACCTGTCATCCCAGCACTTTGGGAGGCCAAGCTGGGCAAATCGCTTGAGGCCAGGAGTTTGAGACCAGCCTGGCCAACAGGGTGAAAGCCTGTCTCTACTGAAAATATAAAAATTAGCCAGGCATGGTGGCAGACCTGTAACTCCAGCTGCTCAAGAGGCTGAGCTGCGAGAATCACTCAAACCCAGTAGATGGAAGTTGCAGTGAGCTGAGATCACACCACTGCACTCCAGCCTGGGAGACAGCATGAGTAGTGAGTGACACTCTTATTTTTTTAAAGGAATTGTAGCTCCTTTTGTATCAGATATGGAGCACCGATCTCACTAATGTTATATAGTTGTTTATAAAATCAACAGGGCCTCTAGTGTCCACATTAGAAATGGAAAAACTAGTATTAAAAACTTTGATTAGAAATTTGATTTTTTTGTAGTTCAGGGAGCAAATGTAGTTCTCCCTAAAAAGGAGAAAAGTTAGATGAGGCTATGGTTGCTTTGAGAAATTACAGTAAGAAGTAGTTTCTTTACAAAGAATAGTACAAAAATCAGTATGTGACTTTTCAGAAAGTTTCTAATTCAGTTTTCTAGTTCCTTGCCTGTGTTCCAGTGTAATTCTATTCACGTTAAGCCTTGTCAGTGGATTCCTATAGTAGCAATGTTTTTTTAAATTTAGAAATTTAAATTGGTTTTAAGTTTCAACTTTTCCCCCCAAACAGATTCCAACTTGAGGTAAATTAAAAAGTTATACCCCATCATATGAGAATATCAAAAAGTATCCAGGTAAGGCAAGTTTTCAGGTCAAACTTAAAGGATTTGGAATCAAGACTGAGCTAGCTCTGCAAACATGAGGCAAATTAATTCTCCAGAACTATTTCCATATCTGAAAAATCAAGGCAATGGCCTCCCTGTTGCCTTGAGGATCAAGTGAATCACATATGAAATGATTAATCAGATTTCTTTTGAAAACCTTACAGGCAGCAGAGCATGGCTTTAGTGTTCAAATTCTAGCCATTACTACCTGGATTACTTGGAGCAAGTCACTGTCTTCATACGCAAAAATGGAGGTGTTATAATACCTTGGTGAACTGTCAGAATCTGGTAGGAAAAAAGTCATAAAATGTTTGGTATTCTATACAGTTATGTTCCAAAATAGACTTAGGTATTAAAAAGCTCTTTCTTTTCTCTCTCTCCCTTTCTCTGGGAGAAAAGTTAAGAATTCATTTTTTGACAAACTTTAATGTCATTTCATACCAGCAATTTTATTTACACAGCAAGAACATACAGGTATGTTATAAATGTCAGAGATCATCTCTACATTTCAGATCTTGATTCAGTTTAAGGGCCAACAAAGGAAGGTTTTTCTCTTGTACAAAGTGTGTAGTACCAGCAAGTGCATTACCATAGCATGTCTTTAATTTTCAATTTGAAATCTGATGTGCTTGAGAAAAGTGCATCAAAAGTTTTTGTTTTTGTTTTTGTTTCCCTTACAAATTCAAAAGACTAGAATAATGGTAGTCATCTGGAAAAAGTAAATCATGGATGGCTATAATTTTGAAACTGATGCTTAATGATGGCAGTGATTTTTAAGTGTGGTAACGTTTTGGGAGCATGTATCCTCTCTCAAGATGGTACTAGTAAGAGATTCAAAGTAGTACCATATCGGAGCAGACTGATGATGTGGGGTTTTTTATGTTTGAGATCAGTTGGTGAGCCTGTTGTTCCTTAGTAAATTGGTGCCATAAGCTAAAGTTAACATATTCATATTTTCCCTGCCAGTAGTCCTTCATAAATATCGGGTCATAAACTGAAAAAAAAAAAAAAATTATCTGCAATATAAATGTGTTGTCTATTAGAAATGGGGCTAGATGTCTTAAGGATTTCTAAGTATATCTTAAAATTTATAATGTTGTGGTTCATACCAAGAATCATCTGGGGAATTTTAACAAAATATGTATATGTTCTAAACCTCATCACTACCCCATAAATGCAGCTTAAATCTGAAGGAGTATGTGTATCTGGGTATTTTTCTTTTTTCTTTTTTGAGACGGAGTTTCGCTCTTGTTGCCAAGGCTGGAGTGCAATGGCACGATCTTAGCTCACCACAACCTCCACCTCCCGGGTTCAAGTGATTCTCCTGCCTCACCCTCCCGAGTAGCTGGGATTACAGGCATGCGCCACCATGCCCGGCTAATTTTGTATTTTTAGTAGAGACGGGGTTTCTCTGTGTTGGTCAAGCTGGTCTCCAACTCCTGACCTCAGGTGATCTGCCTGCCTCGGCCTCCCAAAGTGCTGGGATTACAGGCGTGAGCCACCACGCCCGGCCTTGGGTGTTTTTCTTTCAGCTCCTCCAGTACTTTCATACTATTCTAATACATTTTGTTGGTATGAAGCAAAAGTAGTTATTACCAGTGCATACATACAGTACATTGGTTTTAAGTTCCACCTCAAAGTGAATCTTAGAGCCTGGTTTAAGTGCTCCACTTTAGAGAGATGTACCTTAATTACTACTGTATTTGCAAATTAAGGGAAATTTAGGTCATCATTTGATTTTCTAAAACCTAAAAGGAACTGGCCATCATTACCAAGTCTTTCTAGATAATCAAGGGTAGATGGCTGTTTAATGTAGGAATTAATGTACACATTCCAGCTTTCAGGTTTAAGTATGAAGCAAAGCATATTTTAATTTGCTAGCGCAAATGGACCCAGAATTGGAAGCGCTATGTAACTACACAGTATGCACACCACATCCATGTCAGTGTCACAGATCCTCTTGTGCATTCAGCTTTCTTAAAAACACATCAAAGGCTGCAGAGAAGCTCAGAAAAACTAAATTGCAGGACAGGTGGAATACAATGACTCTATGTGAGGAACTTGCCAACTCACATCTTTCAAAGCCAGATCAGCTTATATAGTACATGCATTATAGTCATATGAAATGTTGTCTTGGTGCTTTCTTCTTGGAGGACTATGGCAGCAGCTTTGAGACTACTAACGAAGATTATTACACAGGTCATCTTATCCACAGGCAAACTGCTTTGCACAGCTAGAACATTAACAGTTCTTTTTAAGTTCAGATGAAACTGTCACAAGACAGACTTGATGTATTTTACATATACTGGGAAACTTTAGAAACAGCCATTTATTATTTGGATTAAATGTGTGATTCGTTCTGTAATATGGAATACACTTTTCAGTTTATAGCCAGTCTTCACATGAGCAGATTCATACCACTGCAATACACAGGAGTTCATAAATAAGATTCTACTCAGGTAGGCAGTAACTAGCAAGTTTTGAGTCAACAAAGTCTCAGTATTACATAGTTCTCTTCACCAAAGATGAGTCTCTCGGATTTCAGCAATAATTTGACTGGCTCCTTGTAATGCCTGCATTAAAGGAAATAAAAATTTTAAATGCTATTACAAAGTTATGAAATTAATCTGAATTATGCGGGGTGATTTTTCCAGTGTATATGTGGTAGGTTTATAACTAACCAATATCTTCTCTGGAATTTGAATCTAATCAAGTACCGGCCAGGTGCGGTGGCTCACGCCTGTAATCCCAGCACTTAATCCCAGTACTCTGGGAGGCTGAGGTGGGCAGATCATGAGGTCAGGATATTGAGACCATCCTAGCTAACACGGTCTCTACTAAAAATACCAAAAAGCAGCCAGGCATGGTGGCGGGGTGCCTATGGTTCCAGCTACTCTGGAGGCTGAGGCAGGAGAATGGCGTGAACCCGGGAGGCGGAGCTTGCATTGAGCTGAGATGGCACCACTGCACTCTAGCCTGGGCTACAGAGCAAGACTCCGTCTCAAAAAAAAAAGATTTTTATCAAGTACCAATAGGAAACAAGCCTAGCTAGAATATAAAGACTATATACATCCAAGAATCAAACTGCATTTAACACTATTTCTATGTTTCTATCTACTACCCAAGTATAAAAATTCCAAAGGTTCACAGTACCTTTAGCATATCAGCTGCTTCTTTCCTGCGCTGTGCCATGTCCTCAGATTCAGTCAGAAGATCATCCAATAAGGATGATTTATAAAGCTGGCCTACTAGCTCACTCTGAAGAGTGTCTTTCACATGATTAACCAAAAAATGCATTACTGCCTTTGGCACACTGCAAACAAAACCAAATTACGGAATTTTAGCCAAAATTCTACTTTTAATAATCTGGGCTTAGAAAATAACCTCATGAAATAAAGTTAAGTAAGAACACTCTACTACTTTGGATATTTCATTAATGGCGTAATCGCCCTTTATATTTTTGCTTAATTATAATTAAACATTAAGAAAAGCAGTTCTCGGCCGGGCGCAGTGGCTCATGCCTGTAATCCCAGCACTCAGGAGGCTGAGGCAGGTGAATTGCTTGAGGCCAGGAGTTTGACACCAGCATGGCCAACATGGTGAAACCCCATCTGCACTAAAACTACAAAAATTAGCTGAGCGTGGTGGCACATGCCTGTGATCCCAGCTACTCGAGAGGCTGAGCTACTTTACCTTCTTTCCATCATCCTTATTTCAAAACTCTTCAATAGGCATTTACTCATAATAGCCAATAAGTGAAAAAAACACAAACATCAGCTGATGAATGGATAACACAGTATATCTCTATAATGTAGTATTATTCACAGATAAAAACATACATCACTTAATGACAAGGATATGCTCTGAGAAATGCATTATTAGATGATTTCATTACATGAACATCACAGAGGGTTCTTACACAAATGTAGATGGTACAGCCTACAACACGCGTAAGCTATATGAGATAGCCTATTGCTCCTAGGCTACAAACATGTACAGCATGTTACTGTACTGAATAGGGAACTGTAATACAATGGGAAGAATTTGTGTATCTAAACATAGAAAATGTACAGCAAAAATACGGTATTATAATCTAATGGGAACACATTCAAATATGTTGTGTGTTGACTAAAATGTTATGTGGCGCATGACTATACTGATTCATACTACAATACAGATGAGGCTTGAAAACATTAAGTGAGCCAGGTGCAATGGCTCACGCCTGTAATCCCAGCACTTTGAGAGGCCGAGACAGGTGAATCACTTGACGTCAGGAGTTCGAGACCAGCCTGGCTAATATGGTGAAACCCGTCTCTACTAAAAATACAAAAATCAGCCAGGCATGGTGCTGCACACCTGTTATCCCAGCTACTCAGGAGGCTAAGGCAGGAGAATCGCTTGAACCCTGAAGGCGGAGGTTGAAGTGGGCCAAGACTACGCCACTGCACGCCAGCCTGGGCGACAAAGCGAGACTCCATCTCAAAACAAAAACACCCTCTGCAGGGGATGGGGGCAATGAAGGAGACAAATGGAATTTTTTCTTCAGGCCCACAGTGTAAAACACTAGGAACTATTATTTCTACCACAAGCTACAGGTTTAAAAAGTCTACAAGCAAAAAAGATAAATGGTTCTACAGACAAAATCATTTATTTCAATATGAAGTATATTTATTACTCTGTGCAGTAAAATTCATCTTAGCTGCTGACAGATTACCAAAAACTGGATACAGAATATTTTCTAATAGATCACTTCATACAACTAAATGTGTATTCTCCCTATTACTGCATGAAATGACATACCAGGCAACATGAAGGAGAAGATGCAGTAGGGGAGTAGACACATGCAAAAACATTCTGAACGAGAAACCGTATACATATTTCTTAGTAAAAGACATTCGTTTTGATGCTTTGGAAAACCAAGTTAAATTAAAAAGGCAAGTCAGTGTTACTAGCCAGAATAGTTAATGAAACTACTGAATTAAAATTTAGGAAAAAAACATTTTCTTAAATGACTCAAAATGTGGCAGCCATATAGAACAAAAGATTCATTTTAATAGCTTTTTCTAGCTGATACATGAGGTCCTAGTCATTCTATGTTAACAAACTGAGTCTTGCTACAAGTTACCAAAGGATTATCAGAGAATCCACTCGATGATTTAGAATAAAAACCTAAAATTTTAAAAATACATGTATTTTTCAAAACAGATCATAGAATCATCCAGCAGTATTAGAGCCTGTGATTTATATTAAGTAATACTAACCTGTCTTGAATATTCTTTCTGACAATAAGAAAATATGATTTAATGAGTCGTTCAATAACCTCACAATCTCGCTGTTCCCGAGCGGATAGTTTCCGTGCAACAGGAACTGGCTAAATAGGGATGAGGGGGGAAAAATGTTACTTTTGTGACACTTTGAAATGGCAGCATTTAACATCTGAAAGTTATGTAAGTTTTTGAGACTTTAGTTCTTTCTGTCTAATCAATTTCCTACTAACTTGGTCATCTTATTAGACCTAAACCAAAGTGTCATGGCTTACCACATCCAGCAGATTCACAGCATGACCTTTTTGTGGACTGGCTGGCATAATTGGAATGGGTTTTGATTTTTCTTCTGCTAATAACTCTTCAGCTTTTGAAGTTTTCAGCATTCCTCTCCAATTGCCTGTTGTTGGTTCTTGAACACCATCTCCAACCCCACCACCTCCAGATGCAACCTGAAAAAACATGTTCCAAAACCTATACCAACCACATCATATCTGACCTTAACTAAAATGAAGTTCATTTTATTTGACAGTAGTCAATATACATCCAGTACCCATCTGAAGTTTATTCATACAGATAATGAGGTCAGAAGGAGACAGTAGGTAGCATGTATAACTGAAACCCTGACCTAGCTAAATAAGAGGTTCTGCTGTAAATTGTTTGCAAGGCATCAACCAGTTTATGTTCTGTTTAATTCCTTTTTTCTTTATCATTCGCTCGCCAACTTTTCAAAATCATTCCTCTTCTCCCACCCTTCAAACACTAAATTGTAGAAAAAGTATATGCTGCCCTTAAAATCAAAACTACTCGTTAAAAGCACAAAGAACTGCCATTCAGTTTAATTTAAGTAATCATAAACACTGTTAAACTCTAAAAGTTCCATGAACTTATGTCTCTGAAGTTAAGAGTTTATGTATTTCAAGTCAATTTACATTCCTATAGTCAACAAAATGCCATAAGGTATCAGTAGGAACTCTTTAACAAAAAGCAAGACTACATTTGCTTTTCGTAGGCTGACAGTCACTATGAGTTGTTTCAAATGTGGAATGTGATAAACACAACAGAAATCCCCTCAACCTCTGTACTCTTAAGGATTTGCAGAAAGAAATCTAGTGCTATCACATTAATCACAAGTGCTTTTACACCTTATTTTCTAGAAAATTTATTAATCTTGACTTCTAAAAGTCAAAAATGACTTTATAATGGAAAAACATAATTCATCAACATTTAAGAGGGTTTTTTTTTTAGTTATTCTTTAAGAGCTTACAATCTAAAAATGGATTATATAAATTTAATAGAGGATTATGGCAGTAAGAAAAATGGCAGTTTGGGGTAGCATTCTGAATCAAAATACTTGCTTAAATCTGTCTTTAATATGTCAGTTAAGGTGAACTATAAATATCAGTATATTTATATTCCACATTAACTTAAAAATAAGTAATTAGGTTTTTATACATGAATGACATACCAAATGAAATCTTAAGAAGAGTGAGCACATTCAGTGTGATGTCATGAATGAAATAAAACTTGTGCAGTGATTTAGATGGTTTGCTTAATATCTGAGCACAGTGGAGCTGAGAGAAGGTAAGACATTTATAAACCTTTATCTCAAGTTCAGAACTTTAAATCTGGATAATTAAGGAAAGGAGCTAAATGGCAGAAAATCTTGAAATAGCAATGAGTCTGAATAATTTATACATTATTTAATTTTCCTCTAAAATGGTTATTAAGAATTGAAAACAGTCTCAAACTCTCACAGTCCCCCTGTTTGTTTTTAATTTGCTTAAGCTTCTGAAGCATATGTGAAGCTATATATAGGGTAACAAGTGCAAACTAACTGGAAGCATAAGAAAGAAGCATTAGATTAGAGGATTATCTATTAGTACTGAACAGATCTCAAGATCTTTAAAGAGGAAAGGAAATGTCCAAAAATACAATTCCATCTCTGAAATCTAGGAAATCTCTGAATTTCCTGTCAAAATATGTTAAATTTCCTATCAAAATTTAAAACTATTCTTGAAGGTCACAGAAAACAGTGAGAAAGCCTATTATTGTTACTAATTAAAACGTTTAACGCCATCTTCCACCGGTTAGATAAAAGGAACATTAAGAACATAACACAGACAAGAGATAGATACCACTACACAAACAGGTTATTTAATGGTGTTACAGACAGTGTTTCAGTGAGAACCAGAGGTACCAACATTTCCATTCTGAAGCAAGAGACTCACATTTTTAGTTTCTCTTCTGCTGTCCTGAATTAACTGTTGAAAGATATGTTAAAACATGCAATTTAACAAGCAAAATTTAAATACCAATGGGTTGAAATTTTAAAAGTGCAGGATAATTTCCTCTTTAAATTACTTCTTTTTCTGTGTGCATCTTCTATATTGCAAGCAAAAGCATGTCAACAATATAAACTATGCATTGCATTGTTATATAATTTTAAAATATATATTAGACTAAAGTGATCTGACCTTAGCATGGTATCCCATATTAATATTCTTCTATTCAGTGTATTGTTTCCAGAAGATTATGTTGTACCAAAGAACTAGGCATGCAGGCTTAGATTAAGAATCAGAACAGACCTTGCCATCAGCCTCAGCAGAAGCAGCGGGGGAGGGCTCCTGGGAGGCAGGTGCCAAAGCACTTGGAACTTTAGAAGACTAAAGGCAAAAAATGCAGGGGGGGAAAAAAAAATGCAAAAATGCATTCAGGAACACTCTATAAATGTGAATTTTTCCCTTCTGTAACAAAATCGTAAAATAACATGAAAAATGAAAATAATCATGGGAGATAAAATTGTTTATTCTGCCTTATTTCCTTCACCATTGTCACCTTTGTTAAAAGTTTCCTTCAGCTGAATACATAATAAAAATCCAAATCCAAAAGCTTCATTTTTATTTTTGGTATTTGATAAGATTCTTTTCTGGCAAAGAAGTCAAGGTAAAAGATTTTTATACACACTTTAGTATTACAACTATTATAAGTATTACTAGTAATTAAAAACTCTATTCTGTGTATACTGTGTTTTCCAAGAAACCCTCTTATTATAATAAAATATTTAGTCGTTTCAACTATTTACAAAGTTGATAAAGTCACTGACTGAATTTTTTTAAAAAGCTTGATGCTTAAATGCTTAAATAAACCCTTAAACCTACTTTTAAGCATTTGTCAGTGAATTCAAAATACTATTATCTTTAAATCACTCAAAACCCATTTTAAACTTGTCTTTACTCAGTTCCAATGGAGTGTTAAAGGGAGGAAAAGAAGAAACAATTACTCCTAGAACTGAATAATATTCTGAGCTCATCAGTCTATCTTTAGGTATTGGGAATATGCATTTAAAACTTTTTTTTTTTTTTACCTTGTCTCGTGATACAGCTGAAGGTAATTCTCTGGCTAGCCTGTTTCTCCTTTGTTCCTAAGAAACACAATCAAGCAGAACAAAAGTGATTATCCAAGTATTGAGATATATGCCTACTAAAAAATGTTCATGTTAATTGAAAAGTGTGGAGTAACTTAGAGATACATCCTCTCACTGTTGGGACTCATGCCATAATTCTCATATTTTAAAATAAATAAATCATTTAACCCAAAGCTTCTCAATCTTTTTTTTTTTCTGCCTATACACCTGAAGGATACAATACAGTGTCAGTAACAGTGGCTCCCTGTACTGGAGATTCTCAAATGAGGGGCAACAGAGTGACACCTTCTCCCCCTTTCCTGTCCTCACACAAACGTGGAATATAAGCCTTCAACATACCATGTGGAATTTGAAGTCCAGAGATCACAGAAAACTCCACAAAGACTTTAAAAGTCACTCTAACCTGAACACCTTTGTGTTAAATTCAAACAACTCCCCTCATAAAACCGTATCTTGAAGAAGTATCTGTGGTTAACGTTATCCTATAAAAATGTTCCATTTCTTTATCCTGTCTCCAGGAAATAGTGTTGACAACTGAAAGTCCTTTCTGTAACCTGGCTAATTTAACAGACTGATCAATTGCCCACTGTTCTAATTTGCTAATATTATCAAAGTAACTTGTACAAAGCTAAAGAGACTGTTAAATTCAAATTAGAATGTCCCGAGCATCTGCTATATCCAAGCACCAAGATAGATAGGTAAAAGATTATGAAAATATTGGCCAGGCACGGTGCCTCATGCTTTTAATCCCAGCACTTTGGGAGGCCAAGGTGGGCAGATCACTTGAGGTCAGTTCAAGACCAGCCTGGCCAAAATAGTGAAACCTTGTCTCTACTAAAAATATAAAAATTAGCCGGGCATGGTGGTGCACACCTGTAATCCCAGCTACTCAGGAGGCTGCAGCAGGAGAACTGCTGGAACCCAGGAGGCGGAGGTTGCAGTGAGCAGAGTTCATGCCACTGCACTCCAGCCTGGGCGACAGAGTGAGACTGTCTTTAAAAAAAAAAAAATTATGAAGATACAGAAATCTGTAGATGTTAATGGTGGATCTCTCACAGGCAGCATCAAATACAGTAGAAACTATTTAGGTTAAAGTCAAAATTGCTCCTAAGTAGAAAGTATTTCATGAACACAGTTCAACTTGCAAAAAACTATAAGTTAACAAAGCTTCACAATGCTTTTGTTTTTGTTTTTTGTTGAGATAGAGTCTCGCTGTGTTGCCCAGGCTGGAGTGCAATGGCATGATCTTGGCTCCCTGCAACCTCCACCTCCCGGGTTCAGTTGGTTCTCCCTGCCTCAGCCTCCCTAGTAGCTGGGATTACAGGCACCCACCACCCCTGGATAATTTTTGTATTTTTAGTAGAGACAGTTTCGCCATGTTGGCCAGGCTAGTCTTGAACTCCTGACCTCAGGTGATCAGCCTGCCTCAGCCTACCAAAGTGCTGGGATTACAGGCGTGAGCCACCGCACCCAGCCCACAATGATGTTCCATGTGTAAGAAATTTTTTTTTTGCCAGAAACTTGGCCCAATTTTATTTTTTCATGGGAGGGTATTCAGTAATAAAAAATAACATAGTAAAAGTATAGATATTAACAATCTTCAAAATAAAAAATTAGCATGATAAAATGTACGTTTTGAACAGGGATACAAAGCAAAAGGCACAGTATCTCGAATTCTCGCCCTAGACTGTTACTAACCAGTTATGATCTGAGCTGCTCCCGGACCCCAGCAGACCTGGTGTACCCGCGTTGCTAACTGGACAGCTTACCAACTCTTTTTGAAGCCCTTGTGTCCTAATCTGTTAATGACATGATCTGCCCTCAGAGTTATGGTAAAGATTAAATGAAAATATCCACATAAAGTTCTCTGGCACAGTCATTATAACCACAAACCTATTCATTTGTAGAAAAATACTAATCTGAAATCATATCACATATGACCTTGTCAGTGTAACAAAACTATCACAAACACAAGGTTTTCATGTTAGTTTCAATGCAAAAAGAACTAAATCCATTTAAGTGTCTACATGCTAATTTTTAACATAACTGTTATCTAGCGTGTTTTGAAGAGCCTACTCATGTATGCATTTTGGAATTTTTTCTGATAACAGGAATCACCCCCAGCTATGTAACCAAAAATGAGTTCCCTATACCTGTGTTAAGGAGGTGCTTGTTTCCTATAATAGTGCCCTGCAAAATAAGCACCAAAGGAATAACTGCTATCTGTAAACCTCAAGGTCCCCACTTTTTTTTTTGGAGACAGAGTTTTGCTCTTGTTGCCCAGGCTGGAGTGCAATGGCACGATCTCAGCTCACTGCAACTTCCACCTCCTGGGATCAAGTGATTCTCCTGCCTCAGCCTCCCTAGTAGCTCAGATTACAGGCACCTGCCACCAACCCCAGCTAATTTTTTGTATTTTTTAGTAGAGACAGGGTTTTACCATGTTAGCCAGGCTGGTCTCGAACTCCTGAAGTCAGGTGATCCACCTGCCTTGGCCTCCCAAAGTGCTGGGATTACAGGTGTGAGCTACCACACCTGACCACCCCATCTGTTTTAACCGGAATTGAAGTCAATAACACAGGATCCCTTCCAGCTTCTGAACTGCATATTTACAATTTTCTCACCATGCATACGCGGAAGAGGAAATTTGATATAGAAGGGGACTCTGAGGTCTTACTGAATTAGGGAGTAACAGAAAAATGTACTATTTTTGGAGAAAAGTGGCAGAGGAAAAAAATGGCTTCTGGATCAATTGCTCTGTCCACCAGCCTTGGCTCCATCTGAGATCTTATTCAATTTGTTACATTAACATCAAAAGGAAAGAAAAGATCCATGAAATGCAGCCACCCCAGTACTGGTGAAAAAAGCACTCTGCTTTTCCAAATTTATGCTAAGTTGGTCAATTCTTGAGTGTTTCCTTCACAGCTTTCAGAGTCAAATGAAAACAATTGTAAACACTTTGTTGTACACACTTCCCCTGTATAAACTATAAGTTACCAAAATAGAGCCAGTCACACCAAATCAATGAATTCTCAGATTCTTTCTGAATTTCAATTTCATAAGCAGAAAGTAATAATGCCTCCAGGTGGTTTTGAGAATTAAGAAAACAATGTAATCCCCTCAGCATACTTCCTGGCATGCAGCAGGCACTAATGTGGCACATGTCTATTTTATCATTACTCCGTGCTAAGTAAGTTTGATATAACTGAGTTACAACAGATTTTTCTGTGAAAAAGTGTAAGAATTATATTTACCTCTATATTATTGTTCATTAGGCCACAAGCATCAGCAAAGTCTGGATGTTTTGTGTTGATATAAGCCAGTTCAATTGCCACTAAGTTATGGACCTAGAAAAAAGGTAAGTTAGGCTATATACAAAAATACATCAACCATATTTTACTTTGAGAAATTTATATATAAAACTTACGAAACAGACAATACCGAAAAAGTACAGGAAACTTATGCCTAAATTACTTGATAATTATATTCCAACTGATAAATCTTATGTCAAACAATAATTTACTCTAGCTTTAAAATTATTTACATTTCAGCATCTAAAACTGCATTTCTAAGAGGGAACAATAACATTAAAGTAACTACAAGTATTTTACTGTTAGGGAAAAATAGTCATCTGTTTGATGCAAATCTTAATTCCAATGCTTTATGCAACTTTGCTATTAAAACTTCAGATCATCCACTATTCCATGTCACTTTTTAAGTTCATTTTCAACAATAAGAAGATAAGTTCATAACCAGGCATAAGTTAAAAATGTTAATTTTATTTGGGTAAAGGATACATCTAAAGACCTGAGGTAGTGACTGGTTAGCCTTAACTATAAAGCACCTAGTTTTAAAATATTATATGTAGTTCAGAATCCTTAGAGGAAAATAAAAAAGAAAAGTTAAAATTAATTTATCCAGCCCTCTACAGAATTGCTAAGTCTTTCTTTGTTTGTTTGTTTTTTGAGATGGAGTTTCGCTCTTATTGCCCAGGCTGGAGTGCAGTGGCGCAATCTCGGCTCACCACAACCTCCACCTCCTGGGTTCAAGTGATTCTCTTGCCTCAGCCTCCCGAGGAGCTGGGATTACAGGCAGCGCCACCACGCCTGGCTAATTTTGTATTTTTAGTAGAGATGGGGTTTCTCCATGTTGGCCAGGCTGGTCTCAAACTCCCGACCTCAGGTGATCCACCCACCTCGACCTCCCAAAGTGCTGGGATTACAGGCGTGAGCTACCACACCACTAAGTCTTACAGAGAGAATAAACTTAAGCCCTTTATTATGTGCTGTCCTAACAAATCTCAGGTATCAGAATGGCACTTATCAGTCCAGAACCGGGTAAAAAGGGTCTATTAAAATGAAGGTCCAATGATTCTGTGCTATATTCAGTCTTAGACATCAGAATCTGAGGGGTGTCCTCACTAAAGAAACAGCCAAGCAGCAGCACTTACATTCCAAGGATGGTTTTGTACTCTTAGTAACCTCCACGGGGCTCACCATCCTGAGCCAAGGACCCAAATGCACTTTTAGTGATCAGAAAGAAAAACAAAAAACAAAAACCCAGCCAACAATTAGAGGCATAAGGGCAATTTTAAATGCTTATCCCATATTTCTGCCAATTTCAGCATTTTCATTTGTGTGGATAGCAGCAACCCATAGAATAGTAGCAAGCAACTATGATATTATAGTTATTAGGTCGTAACAAGCAAACTGCAGAAGTGGCCAGATTACGCCGATGTACCTCAAAGTAAGAGTGTGCTATAAAGGCTCAGTTTACTGAGGCTAAAGATGGAACTAATTTTCTGTTAAGATCAGTGGTACTAAATAATACAGCAAAGCTATTCACACCCCTCAATCATAAATCTATTTTCAAGAAAACCCATGTCTGTAGGCTAACGATTAAAATAAGAAGAAAAAATATACTTTATACTAGAATTATTAAAAATTTTCCTTTAAAATGAGACTGAAACTCAACTTCTTTTTCCTCCCAATACACTGGAAAACATTATGCCTAAACTCTAAAGTAACCATATAATGTTTATTAAAAAGCAGTCAAGCAAAAATTTAAACTTTGACTCATAGTAATTACAATGATCTATGCTATAGTAGCTCACCATTTCATTTGTAACAGGCAACCTTTTACGAAGAAGACAAGTCACCACTTCAACTATGGCATCATGAAGTTTAGGAAATCGTAACAATTCCTATAAATGGTAGATGAAAGAAAAATGTAAGTTTGTTTTTTTTCTTTTTAAGACATAGTCTCACTAAGTCATCCTCCCACCTTAGCCTACCAAATAGCTGAGACTACATGGATAAGCCACCATGGCAGGCCAACAGTCATTTTCTTTTATTTAATGATCACAGAAATACTGAATTAGATTTAGAGCCTACATTTAAGAATCCTATTTCAAATCACTTTCAGGTAAGGCAACTACAGATTTTACCTTGTATCCCATCTTACACATTTCCTTCCACCCAGTGAAACCACCACTTCATGTTCTTTTCTAGTTTGCGTGAAACCTGTTACATTTCTCTCCGTTACCTGTGTACTGTAATTGCTACAGTGCTGAATGATCCTTTGCATTTCCTCATGAACCAGTTCCACACAGCGGAGGCTGGGCTCTTCTAGACGTTTGATTTGCCGCTTCACCAGTAACTCAAATGAAACCTCAGGCACAAATAAAGCAGGACGAGGACCCTGAGAAAATAAAACTTAGAACTCTTATTATATATGTAATTTCAGTGCTTCCCAAAGGTTAAGTCACATTTTTTGTATTTTTCATGCAAAATGCTTTTTAATTTCAAATATGAGAGCAAAATAAACTGTATAATTAAGTTTAAAAAGACATAGTATATGGGTAAGAAAAACTTTAACCTCATTTTTTTTACAGTCTAAAAAGCTAAGCATACTCACAGTAGCATTTCTAATGGCAGTCAAAATGTCAATAGTGTTAAGGCCACCAAGTGGATCGACAGATTCTAAGGTTCGCCCAAAAGTCTCATGGAAAATATAACAAATTCTAGCACCACCGCATCTGAAAGGCAATGAAGTATATGGTTTCTGGCATTGTGAAAGGGGAAAGAAGATACAAGTTAGAAGTCTTTCTAGACCTTTAAGTTCATCTTATTTTCTGAGAAAGCCTCAGATAAACAATTTCATTCATTCCCATTACCATGTGTTCTAATTCAACTCATTATGAACTAGTTTCTCTAATTTTTTTAAATGGGAAAAGGAATCATTAAATGATAAGTGTGTGTATATATATATATATATTTGTAAATATAATACATGTTCTGACATAAAACAACAGTTAACTAAGAATTGCTAAGCACCTTTTCGCTGCCCTAGTTTTCCTCAACTAGAATATAAGCTCCTTGAGAATAGGAAACAGTGCCTTATATTTATTTCCATTGATTCACAATCTGAAGTAGAGGTTGGCAAACTTTTTCCATAAAGGGTCACATAGTTAGTATTTTAGGCTTTTCAGGTCATACAGTCTCTGCTGCAACTACTCTACTCTACCATTAAGCACATAAGCAGCCACAGACAATATGTAAATAAATAAGCATAGCTTGTTAGCCAGGCTTGTCTGAAACTCCTGGCCTCAAGTGATCCACCCGCCTTGACCTCCCAAAGTGCTGGGATGACAGGCATGAGCCACCCGTGCCCAGCCCTACTCTTGCTTTAGACAAATTAAATCTCTTTTTGTTGTTGTTTTTGGTTTTTGGTTTTTTTTGAGACGGAGTCTCGCTCTGTTGCCCAGGCTGGAATGCAGTGGTGGGCTCTTGGCTCACTGCAACCTCCGCCTCCCGGGTTCAAGTGATTCTCCTGCCTCAGCCTCCCAAGTAGCTGGGACTACAGGCATGCGCCACCATGCCCAGCTAATTTTTGTATTTTTAGTAGAGATGGGGTTTCACCACAATGGCCAGAATGGTCTCGATCTCTTGACCTCATGATCTGCCCGCCTCAGCCTCCCAAAGTGTTGGGATTACAGGCATGAGCCACCGCACCCAGCCTTAGACAAATAAAATTTCTTGATATAGTTACTGAGCACCTTATGTTTCCTATCTTGTTTAATAACTAGAAACCCTGGTATTATCTTTTTCAAATTCAAGTCCAGTTGAATTGTACAAATACCTTTATAATGCCTCCCCAAATCATCCCTTCCTCTCTATTTTTACAACCACTATTGAGTACCTTTTTATAGTAGCTCAGGTAAAAGGTACTAGTCTAATATTATGCTAACAGAAGTAAGCCATGCACAAAAGGACAAATACTGAATGATTCAGTTTATCTGAAGTATCTACAATAGGCAAATTCAGACACAGAAAGTAAATTTGGCCTGACACGGTGGCTCACACCTGTCATCCCAACACTTTGGGAGGCCAAGGCAGGCAGATCACCTGAGGTCAGGAGTTCAAGACTAGCCTGCCCAACATGGTGAAACCCAGTCTCTACTAAAAATACAAAAAAATACAAAAATTAGCCAGGTGTGATGGTGGGCACCTGTAGTCCCAGCTACTCAGGAGGCTGAGGCAGGATGATTGCTTGAGCCTGGGAGGCAGAGACTGGCCCAGACTGTGCCATTGCATTCCAGCCTCGGCAATAAAGTGAGGCGCTGTCTCAAAATTAATTAATTAATTAATTAAATTAGAGGTTACCAGGGCTGGAGGAGAGGGGAATGAGGAGTAATTGCTTAATAGATAAGAATTTTGGCTGGGCGCAGTGGCTCATGCCTGTAATCCCAGCACTTTGGGAGGCCGAGGCAGGCGGATCACAAGGTCAGGAGTTCGAGACCAGCCTGGCCAGCATGGTGAAACAGCATCTCTATTAAAAATACAAAAAATTAGCCGGGCATAGTAGTGCGCACCTGTAATCCCAGCTACTCAGGAGGCTGAGGCAAGAGAATCACTTGAACCCAGGAGGCGGAGTTTGCAGTGAGCCAAGATCACGCCACTACACTCCAGCTTGGGCAATAGAGTGAGACTGTCTCAAAAAAAAAAAAAGGGGAGGGGGGCTGGGTGCAGTGACTCACGTCTGTAATCCCAGCATTTTGGGAGGCCAAGGCAAGTGGATCATGAGTTCATGAGATCGAGACCATCCTGGCTAACACGGTGAAACCCCATCTCTAATAAATATACAAAAAAAAAAAAAATTAGCCAGACATGGTGGCACACGCCTGTAGTCCCAGCTACTGGGGAGGGTGAGGCAGGAGAATCACTTGAACTTGGGAGGCGGAGGTTGCAGTGAGCCGAGATCGCACCACTGCACTCCAGAGTGGGCGACAGAGCAAGACAGAAAAGACTTTGTATCTACAGTCTTGTTCCTAGACACCCTTCCTGTCTTATCTCCTATTATGTCCCATCACTACACATGCTGTTCTACAAAAACATTATTCTTGCATTATTCTTTGCTGTTCCCAAGCCTGAAACACCCTCTCATTACTGGCTTCTCAAATTCTATTCAGAGCCCAATTCAAATGCCTTCTTAAATGTGGAGCTCTCCCAAACCCTGAAATAAATGTCAATGGTCTCTCTTCAATGTCTGAAACACTTCATTAGGTAGACACAGATAATTGGTTCATTAACTATTTATAAAGTGTTCATATACGCTATATGTACTTTTCTGAATATGAATTATATATAACAATAAGAAGTATTTAAATAAAAGTTATACTTTTGCAGCCTAATCAAGCCCAGTATTACCTTGACCTACTTTACCCACTAAACTCTTTAAAGGCCCATTTGTGGTCATCTTTATTTTTTTCAATATGCCATATATATAACCATTCAATAATTAGTCTGATAAATACTCTCTTGACGGAGTTGACCATATGAAGACCATCTCGGTTATACTAAAGTATATAGAACTACACACACACACACACACACACACACACAAATGAGTTAACATATAAATCTGAACAAGCTCTGTGGATTGTACCCATGTCCATTTTCTCACTTTGTTTTTGTACTGTAGTTATGCAAGATGTCCAACAGTGGGGGAAGTTGGGGAAAGGGTACACAGTGGAGGGTGAGTGGGACCTCCCTGTACATTACCCTGCAACTTCCTGTGAGTCTATAATTATTTCAGAATAAAAAGATGTTTTTAGAGAAATGGTTCTTCTTGCTAGTAGTAAAACAGTACAATATGCTAACAATATGCAATATGTAATGAAAGATTCTAAGGATATTATATCCTTTAATCTAATAAACTTACTTCTACAAATTTATCCTCAGTGTTTACTTGGACACAAGCCCCAAAGATAGATGCAGGTAGTCCATCACAGCTTATATGTGTATATAACAGAAAACAAACTATCCAGTAGTAGGAGACTGGCCCAACAAATGAGGGTATATCTAAAAAGTAAAATACTATGCAAATCTTCAGACTGATAATGTATGAGATAGAAAGTTATTTGTTACATGATTTAAGAAATGATTCCAAGATAGGTATAGCATCTGATTTTTAAAGATATGTAGTACAGGCATCTATGTGTTATAGATGCACAGAAAAATGCCTGGTTCAATGCCAAATTTTAGGAATTATCTCGGGTTGGTGAAATTAAGGGTTTGTTTTCATTTTCAGAGATGGGGTCTCCTTTTTTAGCGCCATCTGCTTGCAGCGCTGCCTCTTGCTCCTCCCACCACCTCCTCTTGCTCCTCCCACCACCGCTGCTGCCCTGAGTCACTGCCTGCACAGCTCCACCCGCCTGGCTCCCCATACTAGCCTCTGATATTTGAGTTCTTACAACATGGCAGACATTGACAACCTGCCTAGCTAGGGTAGTTAAAAGAGGAGTGAATACTCTCAAAAACCTGCATAAGTGCACAGATAGAAGCCAAATTATATGAGGAAGTTCACAATCTTGAAAGAAAGTATGCTGTTCTCTATCAGCCTCTATTTGATAAGCAATTTATGATTATTAATGCAATTTATGAACCTATGAAGAATGTGAATGGAAACCAGATAAAGAAGATGAGATTTCAGAGGAGTTGAAAGAAAAGGCCAAGACTGAAGATGAGAAAAAGGATGAAGAAAAAGAAGACCCCAAAGGAATTCCTGAATTTTGGTTACCTGTTTTTAAGAATGTTGACTTACTCAGTGATATGCTTCAGGAACATGATGAACCTATTCTGAAGCATTTCGAAGATACTAAAGTGAAGTTCTCAGATGCTGGCCAGCCGAAGAGTTTTGTCTTAGAATTTCACTTTGAACCCAGTGAATATTTTACAAATGAAGTGCTGACAAAGACATGTAGGATAAGGTTAGAACCAGAACCAGATGATTCTGATCCCTTTTCTTTTGATGGACCAGAAATTATGGGTTGTACAGGGGGCCAGATAGATTGGAAAAAAGGAAAGAATGTCACTTTGAAAACCATTAAGAAGCAGAAACACAAGGTACATGGGACAATTCGTACTGTGACCAAAACAGTTTCCAATGACTCTTGCTTTAATTTTCTTGCCCCTCCTGAAGTTCCTGAGAGTGGAGATCTGGATGATGATGCTGAAGCTGTCCTCGCTGCAGACTTCAACATTGGTCACTTTTTATGTGAGCATGTAATCCCAAGATCAGTGTTACAGTTTACTGGAGGAGTTACTGAAGACGATGATGATGAGTATGGTGAAGAAGGTGAAGCAGCAGATGAGGAAGGGGAAGATGAAGGAGATGAGGGAAATGATCCAGACTATGACCTGAAGAAGGATCAAAACCCAGCAGAATGCAAGCAGCAGTGAAGCAGGATATATGTGGCCTTGAGGATAACGTGCACTGTAATAGCCTAAACACAACTCTTACTTACTGCCTTATGTTTTTGTATTTTCTTGGTAGACTAGGTCATTTTTGTTTTAAAGGACAGGAAACTGATATTTTAAAGACCAATTTGTTCTAGCTAGCATTTTCACTAGTTTTTCTGCCAGATATGTTGAATGCACAAATTCTGTCACACATGTTCATTCACTGCTAATAATTTGGTTCTTCTGGAATCTTTTTATGTAGCTCTTGGAGTACAGCTATGAAAATTAACAACTGTTAAAGGAAACACTTTTTTTTTTTTTTCCGGAATTTTTTCCTTGAAGAACCAAAGTATATTTTCAGCTGTCTGTTGACTAGGGTTAAGTCTGCTTGGATTAGCTATGCCTTTCATTACTTTGTTACAGAAATGCAGGGACTTATACTAAGACAATTCATCATTTAAAAAAAAAAAATTGGCATGTGCAGTGGCTCACGCCTGTATTCCTAGCACTTTGAGAGGCTGAGGCAGGCAGATCACCTGAGGTCAGGAGTTCAAGACCAGTCTAACACGGTGAAACCCCATCTCTACTAAAATACAAAAATTAGCTGGGCATGATGGCAGGTGCCTGTAATCCCAGCTACTCAGGAGGCTGAGACGGGAGAATCGCTTTAACCCAGGAGATGGTGGTTGCAGTGAGCTGAGATCATGCCACTGCACTCCAGCCTAGGTGGCTGAGCAAGACTCGGTCTGAAAGAAAAAAAAAATGGGCAAGACAACTATATGGTTAAGAATTTAAGAATTTCCAGTATGACCACACCCAATAACTGTATTAGATTGTTAATGGATTATTGTGTTATAGGTGAAATAGTTAACTGTAAAGTAACCTGACTCAGTATAGTTACTGGTACAACAGTGAGATGAATAAGACAGGATTTTCAGAAGTTAGCCTGAATTTAACTATACTTTTAAATTTAACCTCCATTAACTAAGCATCTTTTCTTTGTAGCAGGATCTACCTTCTGCTTCCCTGGAAAGGATGAATTTACATCATTTGACAAGACCTATTTTCAAGTTACTTATTGTTTGTTTGCTTGTTTTTGTAGCCTAAAATAAAAATTTCAAATACAATTTTAGTTCTTACAAGATAATGTCTTAATTTTGTACCAATTCAGGTAGAAGCAGAGGCCTAGCTTGAATTAAGGGTTATACTCAGTTTTTACCACATTAGTGAAAAGGGTACCAGCTGTGGAAAGAGATACTATACTAATAAGCAAGTGTAAAAAAAAGAAGAAGAAGAAGAAGAAAATTTTAAGCGATATGATGCTTTAAAAAAAAAAAAGTTAAAGTTCATTTTCTTTGGGGTAGAGCTAGAGAGAAGGCTCCAAGCTTCTGTGGTTTCTTCTAATTCTTATTGCTTAAAGTATGAGTGTGTCAATTACCCATGCTTCTGTTTGCTATGTATTAAAATGTGTAGTACTGTTTATTTAACTACCTCACGGATGTGTTAAGGCATATTGAGTTAAATCTCATAAAATGTTTCTTGATCTCGTTAAAAGCTCAAAATTTTGGGCCTATTTGTAATGCCAGTGTGACACTCAGCATGTTGTTCACACCACACTTTGATAACTAAACTAGAAAACAGTTATCAACTAAATTATCAGTGATCTTTGTGTGGCGCATATATATATATATAAATTTTTTTTTTTTGGAGACAGAGTGTCTCTCTGTTGACCAGGCTGGAGTGCAGTGGTGCGATCTCAGCTCACTGCAACCTCCAACTCCCGGGTTCAAGCAATTCTCCTGCCTCAGACTACTGAGTAGCTTGGATTACAGGCATGCACCACCACACCTGGCTAATTTTTGTATTTTTAGTAGAGACGGGGTTTCATCATGTTGGCCAGGATGGTCTCGATCTCTCGACCTCGTAATCCGCCTGCCTCAGCCTCCCAAAGTGCTGGGATTACAGGTGTGAGCCACTGCGCCCGGCCAGTGTGGCTCCTATTTTTATAGAAGTGGATGGATGCACTATTTCACAAGGTGAAAGAATTTTTTTCTGTATGACTGCGTTGTAGTACTACAGGGAGAGCACTATAGTATTGTAGTCATGAGAGTAAAGTGGAAATAAGACTATTTTTGACAAAAGATGCCATTAAATTTCAGACCGTAGGCCACATTTACAATACCTCAGGCTAATTACTGTTGATTTTGAGGCAACTTTCTTTTGACGATGGTGAGGGTGGACTATTGGATTGTCATTATAGGAAGGTCTAGATTTCCTGCTTTTAACAAAATTACATTGAATTCATTTTTAGAGGTGATGAAAACTTCCTTTTTGAGAAGTTAGTGTTAAGGTCTTGGAAGTGAACACATTGTTTGTAGTGCTATCCATTCCTCTCCTGAGATTTTAACTTACTACTGGAAATCCTTAACCAATTATAACAGCTTTGTTCTCTTTATTTTCAAAATGATTTCCTTTGCTTTGATTAGACACTGTCTTTTTGTTTGTTTGTTTGTTTGTTTTTGGTAACCGTAGTTCATCTAAATGCAGCTTTTTCTGAACTTTAAAGACAGAATCACTTTTTTTTTTCTGAGAGAGTCTTGCTTTGTTGCCCAGGCCAGAGTGCAGTGGCACCATCTCGGATCACTGCAACCTCCGCCTCACAGGTTCAAGAGATTCTCCTGCCTCAATCTCCCAAGTAGCTGGGATTACAGCTGCCTGTGACCACGCCCAGCTAGTTTTTGTATTTTTAGTAGAGATGGGGTTTCATCATGTTAGCCAGGCTGGTTTCAAACTCCTGACGTCAGGTGATTCGCCCACCTTAGCCTCCCAAAGTGCTGGGATTACAGGCATGAGCCACTGTGCCTGGCCAGAATCCCATTTTTAACAAACTGAGGTAGCAAAATCATCTTTTTCATTCTTTTAGGAAATAGCTATTGCCAAAGTGAAGGTGTAACAATTTGTAACAATACCTAGTCTTGTTATGTAACAATACCTAGTCTTGTTACATAATGGGGATGTGGTTTGCCGAAGAATTTTCTTTATAAAATTGAAGTTTCCAGGGATGTCAGTGTTTATGCCATTTTTCCAGTTCCAAAATTATTCCATTCCATTCTAGAAATTTGAAGTATGTAACTTGAAATCCTTAATAAAATTTGGATTTAATTTTAAAAAAAGAGACAGAGAGAGAAAGGGAGTCTCAATATGTCGCCCAGGCTAGCCTTGAACTCCTGAACTCAAGGGATTGTCCTACCTCAGCCTCCTGAGCAGCTGGGGCTACGGGTGCACATCACCATGTAATTTTGTTTTTATGTTTTATTTTTACTTATCTGCATTTTCTAATTTTTTATGACCAATTATACTGTGTGTACTAAAGAAACAAACACTTTAAAAGCTAAATTAAGAAATATTTTTTCTTTTTAAAATAGTTTTACAAATACATGAAAATTTTACTTTGCTTTACATCATTTACAAAACATATTTTCACACAACCAGACATCATCCTATTATCTCTACAAAATTATATTTTTGTTTTATAGATAACAAATCTCAGATAATCTGAGCTGAAGTCATCTTCACAAAAGGAAAAGTGACCTAGCACTCTAGGTAACCAAATCTACAGAAACATTTCTTACTTACAGCTCTGAAGTTTCAATATATTTTGCAGTTCCTTCAATCGTGTTACAATATTCTGTGGCAAATTTGGTAATAAGCTGGAGTAAAGTAGCACTTTTATCATCCACGGGTTCACCGTAGCTATTTAGAAGAGACTGATACTGAGCAGCTAGAACATTTATTCTTGTTTTCAACTCTGGTAAGCAATCTCTGATGTGATGCATCAGTAACCTAAAAAAGGTTTTTAGAAAGGAAAGATTTAAAAGTAAAATAAGTCAAATTTTTAAAATGGGGAAAACCTATCAAATAATTTGTCCTGGCAAATGTGATACTGTGAAATATATATTTGGTCTTTGTCTTCATTTCCTGGCAGTCAGCTCCTAAAATCCTTGGACTCTCCAAAAGCGTAAGAGTGTTTAGAGTGTCTTTGCATGTTAATGAGATGACTGGTGGCTGGGAGTCCCTAGATAGCTTCAGGATGGGAGCTGGTCACCAGAACAGCCTCAGAAGAAGGGAGAGAGGCCAAAGGTTGAGCTGATCACCAGTGGCCAATGAAGGTTCCATAAAAACTCAAAAGGACGCAGTTCACGGAGTCTTCAGAGAGTAGAACACATGAAGGTTCCCGGAGTGTGGTGTGCCCAGAGAGGGCACGGAAGCTCCACATTCCTTCCCACATGCCCAGCCCTGTGCATCTCTTCATCTGGCTATTTACCTATATCCTTTCTAATATGCTTTATAGTAAATGGGTATATGTTAAGTAGTGTTTCCCTGACCTCTGTGAGCCACTCTAACAAATTAATCAAACATGAAACGGGAGTCATGGGTACCCTGACTTATAGTCCATCAGTCAGAAACACAGGCTACAATGTGTGCTTACAACTAGCATCTGACTTGGGGGCAGTCTTGTGGGACTGAACCCTCAAACTGTGGGAGCTGACGCTATCGCCAGGTAAATAGTGTTAGCATTGAATTAAAGGACATTCAGCTATAATCCCCTGGAGAATTCCTTGCTTGATGTATGGGGAAAACTCCCCATGTGTCTGCTCTCAGAAGCATTATGTGCCATACTGATTAACTGTGTGTAAATAGGAAAAAAACAATTTGTATTCGTTTTTCCTAAATCATAAAAGGAGAAAAAATGCAAATTATTTTCATATTACTGCAGTTACCACAGAGAAAGCAAGCCACTCAATCAATTCTTCCTATATAATTTTGGTTTCATTGACTTGTCATTTACAATTAGTAACCAGCAAAGTAAAAATCAACCTTATTAAGATCCAAATCTATCAGTCTTTAAGGAATAAAAGTAAGAGAAAATGGCTTCCACTTCAGTCATTTATAAATAATCTAGAAACATCTTCTAGTCCCCCACCATCAATGGGTATTCAGAATCCAACGTATACAACTTAAGTTATTTCTACAGTGAATAGGAATAAAAGACATTCTATTTCTTTGTTTTTCCATCTCCCTTTCCTGGTAAATAAAAGACATTCTAAGTTAAGAATAGATAATGTGAAAATTACAAATTTTAATGCAGTTGCTGAAATGCAAAGTGCAAATGAAGTCATCTCTAGTTCTATCCACAAAACTAAATTAACTGTCAAAATTTTCATAATTAAAACATCTTAAAATCACTTGAACATTCATTCTAGACTACATGATGATGTAATGTCAACCACCCCAATAAAAATAGAGACATCTACTCTTCAGAAACCTACTATGTAAGAAACCATAAGTGAAGCTGTTAGGAAGAGTATGAAAATGTAAGGAACTGAAAATAAACCCTCTCAGACACCTGTTGGTAAAAACAAACACATCTCATTTCCAAAAGGTAAAAAAATTACCTGTTTAGAGTCCTAGCAAGATACTTTGTTCCATTTCTATTGGCCAGAGATGGATATTTCTTTTGAAGAAAAGCATACTCATCACGGATTGAATCAGTTACACTCTTCTTGTTGTTAATATCTAGCTGGCTCCTGAGGTTGAAAAAATTACAAAACTATTCAGCTTAATGGTTGTCCTCTTCCTACCTCAGATGATGACAGCACCAGCTATTATTCTCTAATACCTGACAGGGACTGTTTTATTTAATTCTCACAATAATTTTATGTGACAGGTATTATTACCCCATTGTATAGCAAGGAACTGAGGCTCACAGAGACTAACTTACCCAAGGTCACAACTAACTGGCATAGCCAAGACTTGAACTAAGTGAATTATAAGTAACTAGTGCCTAAATAGAGTAGGCCTCATTATTACCATTAACTATAGACAAAAACAATAAGTAACAGGTATAGACAGGTATAAAAATATAAGAGTATCTTAGTCAACTGTATATTTTATCCATGCCAGGGAACTAATTTCGCCCAAAAATAATTAAGTTAATTTGAAGAACAATCATCTACAAATAATGAACAGTGTTGCGCCACCTCCTTGCCTGAAAAAAGAGACAGTTGGAATTGAGAGTGGGGATGGGAGAATGACAGGAGGGATGGGATGGAAGGACGTTAAAATAGAAGCAGACAACTGGAATGGATCTTATATATCAGGTAGTAAAAACATTTTCATTTTCTAAAGGCTTGAGACCCAAAGACATTAGGTGTCATTTAAACCTACATTGTATCTAGTTTATGGAAGAACTGGGACTAGAACTCAGATTTCATGATAATTTCAGGGTTTCCTAGCATATGAAGGCTTTGGACTAAAAGAGAAATTCATCCGAGTCCAGCTCTTTCACTACCCATGTGACTTTTGGTTAAATGTATAACCTGAGGTTTCTGATTATAAAATAGACATCAACACCTACCTCAGGGGATGCTGTGAGGATTCCAAGAGATACCATTTGCAAATTGCTCACAGTAGAGTGTCTAAAACGTAATTAGACACTCAATGATAGTTTCCTTTTTCCAATTTTTAATACCAACTATTTATAATTAGGATACCTTTAATAAAATTTCTCCAAGTCACATCCTGGCAATTACACAAAATCACTAATGCTAGGGATTAAACCAATCTATTAAAATCCTGCCACCTTAAACTCTTTCTCGACTGTGTATACATTAGGTAATTTTTCCCTTACCCAATACCTCCTCATACATTGCTTAACATGATAGGCAAAATTCTTAAAGCCTGGCTATTACAACATTTCTTCCATTTTGTGGTATTGCTTACTTTAGAAACATTTTCCATTAAAAATTTCTCTGGGGGCAGGCATAGTGGCTCATGCCTATAATCCTAGCACCTGGGAAACCAAGGTTGGAGGACTGCTTGAGCCCAAGAAGTCGAGACAAGCCTGGGCAACATGGCAAGACCTTGTCACTACAAAAAAAATTAAAAATTAGCCAGGTGTGGTGGTACACGTAACCTGTAGTCTCAGCTACTTGAAAGGCTGAAGTGGAAGGATCACTTGAGCCCAGAGGTCGAGGCTACAATAAGCCACAATCACGCCACTGCATTCCAGCATAGGCAACAGAGACACCCTGTTTCCAAAAAAAAAAAAAAAATTTCTATCTCTTTTCTCCCTTTAGGGCAATTGATTCTTTAGCAATACCAAGATCATAGTAAAAGGGAGAAAAAATACAGGACAGTATCACATTTCAAACAGATTTTAGAAATTCAGACTTGCTCTGAAGTGAGAATGCTACCAATTCTTATCCCATTCTAACTGCTAACCTGTTAACTACTCCAATTATTCCAAGTTTGACTGGAATAACCCTTCCCATCAATACATCCATGGCATCAGTACCCGCATCCATGAGATCAAGTTTAGTGATTACAGCTAGGGTTCTGCGACCTGGTAAATGCAAAAAGAGAAAAGGGCAAAGAAAAGAAAGAAAGAAAGAAAATGATCCATTAAATAAAACTATTAAGCATTAATAAAGGAAAACCCTCATCTATAATCCCACTTAGTATTACCTCTGTCATCATTTTGGTAATGCCTTTCTTACCAGTACTTTTTAAAAAATAATTTTAAACATTGTGTACAATTTTTAAAAACATTTTTGCCAGGTGTGGTGGCTCATGCCTGTAATTCCAGCAGTTTGGGAGGCCAAAGCAGGCGGATCACCTGAGGTCAGGAGTTCGAGACCAACCTGACTAACATGGTAAAACCCCATCTCTACTAAAAATACAAAAATTAGCCAGGCGTAGTGGTAGACGCCTATAATCCCAGCTGCTCGGGAGGCTGAGGCAGGAGAATTGCTTAAACCCGGGAGGCAAAGGTTGCAGTGAGCTGAGAGCGTGCCATTGCACTCCAGCCTGGATGACAGAGCAAGACTCCGTCTCACAAAAATATAGATATAGATATAGATATAGATATAGATATAGATATATAGATATAGATAGTATATATAAAAAAATAGATTTTTTTCACATGCAATTTTTTGTTGACTCTTAGGGCTATTTTGTAAGCATTTAAAAAATCTATATAAAATTTACATCCAGGTGATATGGCCCATGCCTATAATCCCAACACTTTGGAAGGCCAAGGCGGACAGATTGCTCGAGCCCAGGAGTTCGAGACCAGCCTGGGCAAAGTGGTGAAACTCTCTCTCTACAACAAATAGAAAATTTAGTAGGGTATGGTAGTCCTAGCTACAGGTGAGGCTGAGGTGGGAGAACTACCTGAGCCCAAGAGGTCAAGGCTGCAGTGAGCCGTGATTGCACCACTGCACTCCAGCCTGGGCAATGGAATGAGACCCTGTCTCAAAAAACAAAAATTAAAATAAAAATATTGACTCCTTTTTGGTGTACAGTTCTAAGAGTTTTGACAAATGCCAAGAGATATTTCACAACCAACTCAAGACACTGCCGCCCCCACCAAATTTTCTTATGCTAACCAATCAAACCAATTTTCGATCCCTAGTTTTGCCTTTTCTAGAATGTTATATAAACAAAATCAGATAGTACATAACCTTTTGAGTCTGGCTTCTTTCATTTAGCATAATGCAGTTGAGATTCATCCATGTTCTTGTATATTAATAGTCCATTCTTTTTTATTGCGGAGTAGTGTCCCATTGTATGCAATGTACTATACTTTAGTTTCACTCCTCATCTGAGAAATATGTGAGATGTTTCCAGTTTTTGGAAATTATGAATAAAGATGCTGTAGACATGTGTATATAGTTTTTTATATGAACACTGGTTCTCATTTAACATGGTTAAACACCTAGGAATGGGACTGCTAATTTAACTTTACAAGAAACTGCCAGACTTGTTTCCCAAAATGACTATACCACTCCCATCAGCAACGTATGAGTTCAACTGCTCTGCATAGTGTACAATTTTTAGTCATAAGCATTTTTCTTTTTTTTTTTTTTTTGTGCAGTGGTACAATCTCGGCTCACTGTAACCTTCGCCTCCTGAGTTCAAATGATTCTCATGTCTCAGCCTCCCCAGTAGCTGGGATTACAGGCATGCACCACCATGCCCGGCTAATTTTTGTATTTTTAATAGAGATGGGTTTTCACCATGTTGGCCAGGTTGCTCTGAAACTTCTGGCCTCAAGCGATCCGCTCACCTCAGCCTCCCAAAGTGCTGGGATTACAAGTGTGAGCCACCACGCCAAGCATTTTTCTGTATTGCTCCAAATCAACAAAATCATCCTTTTAAATTATTTCATATTTTACTGTTATAATTTGCTTAATCCTTCCAACTGTTGGTCGTATTAAGTTGTTTCAAAATTTTAATACTATAAATAATACTAGGCCAATTATTTCCTTATGATGTATTACTAGATTAAGATTAGTAATCAAGCCAGGTGCAGTGGCTCACTCCTGTAATCCTAACACTTTAGGAGACTGAGGCGGGCAGATCGCTTGAGCCCAGGAGTGCGAGGCTGCAGTGAGGCATGATTGTGCCACTGCACTCCAGGCCTGGGCAACAGAGTAAGACCCTACATCCAATACAAAAAAAGATTAGATTAAAAATATTACAATATTTATGGCTCGAGGGTCAGTTTAAAATAGAGTTGATACATATAAAATGCTTAACAGGTTTTTTTTGTTTGCTTTTTAAGAAGGTCTGGCTCTGAGCCCAGGCAAGAGTGCAATGGCATGATCTTGGCTCAGTGCAACCTCTGCCTTCCAGGCTCAAGCCATCCTCCCACCTCAGCATCCCAAGTAGCTAGGACCACAGGCCAGTGCCACCATACCCAGCTAATTTTTTTTTTTTTTATTTTTTATAGAGATGGGGGTCTCATTTTGCTGCCCAGGCTGGTCTGGAACTCCTGAGCTCAAGTGATCCACCAGCCTTGCCTCCCAAAGTGCTGGTATTACGGGCATGAGCCACTGAGCCCAGCCTACTTTAAATAATAAAAATAAATGTAAATAAACTCTTTGATAAAGTTTATCTTTTACTTTAACTGAAGTGAACATTATTTACTCAAGTGGTAAAAAAATGTTTCTTAAAAACTTGAAATATAAAATTTTGGGGCCAGGCGCAGTGGCTCACACCTGTAATCCCAGCACTTTGGGAGGCCGAGGTGGGCAGATCACAAGGTCAGGAGATCGAGACCATCCTGGCTAACATGGTGAAACCCTGTCTCTACTAAAAATACAAAAAATTAGCCGGGTGTGGTGGCGGGCACCTGTAGTCCCAGCTACTCGGGAGGCTGAGGTAGGAGAATGGCGTGAACCCGGGAGGCAGAGCTTGCAGTGAGCCGAGATCACGCCACTGCACTCCAGCCTGGGTGATAGAGCAAGACTCTGTATCAAAAAAAAAAAAAGTGTTAAAGTGACCCTGCTTATGGGATTTTTTATTGGCAGTCTTAGCACTATTTCATATCAAATTTTTATTTGAAATTATTCTTCAAAGCAGGGTAAGAAAAACACGACACAACCTTCAGACCCTCTAAATAGTAAGGTGAAAAAAATGGTTTCTATATGAGGCCATGCAGACATTTGTTAGCAACAATAGTAACCACTCTCTTACAAGCCAGCATTTTATACATGCTACAAGATGTGCACTACATCATTAGTCAAGCATCAGTGACCCACAGTGTGAACTAATCCTTGGGGTTAAAATGCTTCATGAAAGGATTTTACCTTCATTTCTAAAAATCCCCTTTGCCTTGAGCATGTCTAAATGTTCTCTACCTCTGCAGAATGTAGATACCATAATTCTCTACTGTACCATAATAATCTACAATGATTATCTACTGTGTTATTTTTTTTAACAGAGTCTATGTTGCCCAGGCTGACTTTGAACTCCTGACCTCAAACAATGCTCCCATCTCAGCCTTCTGAGTAGCTGGGACCACAGGCACATGTGACCACACCTGGCTATGTGATTTACTCTTAAAAGCCAGCCATTCAAATACCTAAGTTGCAAAACAAGAAATCCTTTTTGCAAAGCCACTGTATTTTTTTAAAATTATTAGGTAACCATTACAAATAAAGATGTGAAATATTTTTGCCTAGTCTGTATAGCAATTTAATAACCTTATTTTCCATCAGAATTTCTATTTTTATAAACAAAAATAGGAAAGCATTATCTTTTAAATTTGTATTAACAACTAGAGATACTGTTTTTAAAGAGAAAAATTCCTTTCTCAAGGGTAGATTTACCATTGTAAAATAAGCATCTCATTAAATATTAACATCTGTCCTTACCATCTGGATCTACCTCTCTTGAAATTTTAAGTGCCTCTGATGTTGCCATATCTGTATTAGCAGCAGTGACAGCGAGGATAATGGAATTTGGGTTACTGATGAACCGAAGAATGAGCTCTCTGATTTGAAGCTCAATATCCTTAGGTTGATCACCTACAGGCACCTAAACCAAACAGAGATGAGCAAGGAACTAATAGTTAAAAATCAACTCAGCTTTTTTACCCACATTTAATCCACAGAATATAGGTATATCCATTTACAAATAGTTAAAATAAAAATAAAGACATTAATAATATACTACAGTGGTATTTATGATTCTGGTAATGTGTCGAGTCTCAAACTGTAACTCTTGCAAATATCAAAAGTTAATTTGATACAATCCCCTGTTAAGAACTGGTCAGTGTGGATTGGCTAGATACAAATTCATTGATTCATTCATTCAATTATCAAGTGTTTACTGGCAGCCTACTCTATTTCAGGCTCTTTTCTGAACGTGATTTCAGGTCATGTCAGATTATGTTACAGTAGCGAATTTTAAAAACACCATACTTCCTGTCTTCATAGAACTTATGTTTTAGTAATAACAGGCATATAATAAACAAAAACATATATATAGTATCCAGATGGTGGTAAGGGCTATGGAAAAATAAGGCAGAACAGCAGGCTAGGGAATGATTAGAGAAGATTATGATATTTTTTTTTTTTGAGACAAGGTCTCACTCTATCACCTAGGCTGGAGTGCAATGGTGCGATCATAGCTCACTGTATCTTTGAACTCCTGGGCTCAAATGATCCTCCTGCCCCAGCTTCCCAAAGTGCTAGAACTACAAGCATAAGCCACTGCACCTGGCCATTAGGATTATGATTTTAATGTTTTAAATTGGTTTATGTTTTTAAATATAGTAATCAGGGAAACTTCACTGAGACAACTGACACTTAAGAGAATGAGCAGAAATTAAGCCAATAAGGGAGAGGTACATACAGATATGTGGGGGAAAAACAGTCCAAAGAGAGTGAACAGTGAGGGCAGGAGGCTGAAGCAAGAGGAGTTAGGAGAAGAATAGGGACGTACCAAGTACATACTTCAGATCTCTGTAAAAACTTGGGCTTTTACTCTGAGTGAAATGGGAGAAGTTTTAAGTCAAGGAATGACAAGCAACTGGAGAGGTTTTGAGCCAAGGGATGACACAATCGAATTTTCACTTTAATAGTATCACTCTCTACTAAGATGAGATCATGAGGAAGACCTATTATTTATTATTGTGCAGTAATCTAGGTGGCATGATAGTGGCTAGATTAGGATAGTAGCTATGAATTTATAAAACACGATTGAGTTCTGGATATACTATAAAGGTAGGAAGAGCCAAGAGGATTTGCTGGCAGGAAGTGGGATGTGGGATAAATTTGTGTCAAGGATGACTACAAACTCTGACTAAGCAATTGGCAGAATGGAGTTGCCATTTATTTATTATTTATTTATTTAGAGACAGGGTCTCACTCTGTTGGCCAGGATAGAGTGCAGTGATGCAATCATAGCTCACTATAGCCTCAAATTCCTGGGCTTAAGCAATCCTCTTGCGTCAGCTGGGACTACATGCATGCACCACCCTGCCCGACTAATTTTTGTACTTTTTGTAGAGACATGGTCTCCCTATGTTGCCCAGGCTGGTCTCGAACTCCTGGGCTCAAAGAATTCCTCCCACCTTGATCTCCCAAAGTGCTGGGATTACAGGATAAACCACCACACCAAACAGAGATAATTAAAAATCAACTCAGCTTTTTAATGAGTTGCCAATAAATGGCATGAGTTGCCATTTATTGCAATGAGGGAAGACTACAGAAGGACCAAATCTAGTTGAGGAACAGGTCAGGAATTTGGTATTAGAGTTTGAAATGTCTATTAGACATTTAAGTATATATGTTGAATAGGAACTAGATACACATTCTAGTTTGAATGCCATCAATATACAGAGCCTTATGTAGTTAAAGCCATAAAATCTGATGAAATCATCAAGGGGAAAGTGTACCTAGAGAAAACAAGAGGTCCACAAACTGAGCTCTGGGGCACTTACTGTTTAGACATTGGGGAGATGAGAAGAAACAGCAAAAGAGACTGAAAAGGAGTGGCCAGTGGGACTGGAGATAAACCTGTAGAGTGTGGTATCCTGGAAGCCAAGTAAAGAAAGTGTTTCAAGGAGAAAGGAGGGCTCAACGTTATCAAATGCTGCTAACAGATCAAAGTGATTTCAAAAAGAAGCTGATTATTCTCATATGGGATGTCAAGGAAGTGAAAACAACCTGACCAAATCTACAACTATTCCTTCCTTACCTTGGTCATTCCTGGCAAATCCACAAGTGTCAAATTGACAACGTTGGGTGAAAAAATCTTAAGATGAATTGGTTCAGGGCTTACTCCCTAGAAATAAATTTTAAAATATTATATAAAAATCACATTAAAATTTCAATGAACTATGAAGTAATAAACTTCAAGTACATAGACATTGATGCTTTTAAAAATGAATTAAGTAATGATCCCAAAAACTTTTTTTAACAATCAAAACCTGATGAAACACATGGGAAGTTAGGTAGCCAGCCATATTAACAGGTTATAAGCCTACCTCCACCCCTGTATCATCTTGTATACACATTTATTATATACCATGTATTATTTTACATTCTTTTCTCTTGATTATAAACATACACCTTTCCCCTTTTTTTTGAGACAAGTTCTCACTCTACTACCCAGGCTGGAGAGCAGTGGTGTAATCATGGCGCACTGCAGCCTCAAAATCCTGGGCTCAAGCCATCCTCTTGCCTTAGCCTCCTGAGTAGCTGGGACTATAAGGTGTGTACCACCATGCCCAGGTAATTTTTAAAAAATTTTTTGTAGCGACAGGGCATTACAATGTTGCCCAGGCTGGCATATACCATTCCTTAAACATGTTTAATAGATTTAGCACTGAATAAAAGAATAATGTATTCCCCACTATCCAAATTTATGAGGCTCCAAGTTCAGAAGGTAAGGCATAGATAACAAGTTGTCCAAATCAGCTCGGTTCCTGATCTTTGACTATCAAGTGGCAAGAATGTGTATGGTAAGAGATTCCTCAAGAAGTTTATCTAAATCTTTAATGTCTAGTAAGAATTTGGATAGTGAGAGATACATGTATTTTCTCTCCTGTAGACTAAGATTACTGTGTAGGCTCCCTCCTCTTCACCACTGGCCCTCTGCAAGTTTTAGGATTAAATCAACTACATGTAAAAAGACACTTATGAGATGTTTATACCCCATCTTTGTACATGCCCTTCTTTACCCTTTAATATATCCTCTCATCATCTGTTTATCCACCTTACGTTTTCCCTCATTAACCCACTGAAAATTCTAATTTGCCAGCAAGTTTTTAATATCCTTTACTCCATGTTCCCTATACAATTATATTTGCTATTTTAGGTTACTTTGTGCTACTTTTTCATTTTAAATACTCCAGTGTTCCAAAGCCAACAGATGTCAATACCTGGCATACCTATTTAGGTTGTATATTTCTCAGGACCTTTATTGCCATGGCATTCCCCTATCATGTCCAATACAAAGCTTTGCCCAATGCCTTTACAACTCCAATCTCATAGACATTTTAAATCCTTCAGGGCTTTATGTTAGGCATATGCAGTCATTTACATATTTTGACATAAAAATTATATAAGATCAAAGTATCATTTACTTCATTACATACGTGATTTGGGAAAGAAGAGATGTTTCATAGATTTGGGGTTGGGGGACTTTTCATCTTTTAGACACTGCAGATGAAAAGCTGCTAGGTAAGTAAATTATATCCTCAACATAAATTAAACATCTTGTAGGTATATAGACTCAATCTTTAATGACATTCAGTTTAGTTAACTAAAAACATTTTTGAATCACCGCAACACTCTAAATTCTGGTACTGTGTAAAATTACCACCAATTGCTGAGTTCAGTAAGTAAATGGGAACTGTAGGAGAGATAATTCAGACTGATGTTATGATCAATAACATTCCAAAAGCCAAAAATATCCCTGATATAATTAGAGGAATGATGACAAGCTAATCTAGTTTCTGGCCACTTTTCCAACCCCTTCTACACAACATGGTTTCTAGAAATTCAGGGAAGTATGGCAGCAATAGCAGTAACTCAAAGGTAACCAGCCTAGAGTTCAATAATGGACAAACGTCAGTCAGTCACTGTATAACAGCAACAAATACCTTGAACAGTCATAAAGAGTTAACATGACTCTAAAAATGCCTTTCTGTCAGGAAATAATCTTTTAGCACAGTAACTGGCAGATACAAGGGTTCAACATTTGTTGAATATTAGTACTAGGCTAGGGCCCACTTGTGGGATTAAATGTGCCTCTGGATAATGTAAGAATGGAGCTAAGAACAAAAAGGAAGGGAAATAAAAATTTAAAGAGATATATGTAAAAATGTAAAGAGAAAAAGAATAGGAATAAAGAAGAGAGAAGACAGAAGACAGCAGGATTCAGGCAAGGGAGTGACAGTACCTAGTGTCAAGATTAACAGTATCTTAGATACCTAACTTACTTTACATTGTCACAATCTCAGAAAATAAGAAAATAACCAGTTGCTAATGTATTACTTTTCATTTTCACTAAAAAAAAAAAAAAAAAAATCCTAATGTGTCTCTCTTTGCTTTCATAAGCAAATCTAGCCATACACAGGCAAGAAAAAGAACTCCTCAAAAGATATAAATAAGTGATACAATGCTTCCTGAGTTGGAGTACAATCAATCCTTCAGAAAAAGATAACTTATTGTAGCAATATTAAGTAGAATTATATAATAATGTGGTATGTACATGACAGGAACAAGAATAAACATCTAAATAAAATACCTGATTTATATGAAAGCTTTAAGAAAGAAAAGGGATTTTAAGCAAAGTTGTACATACTTGTGAAAATATTCCATTTGTTTCAAAGTCCATTATGAATTTTCAATGTCCATCGCTTCTCGGCCTTTTGGCTAAGATCAAGAGTATGAATTTACAATGCCCTTCACATATTATCTACAGAATACTTCAATTATATATTTACTGATGCTTATGCCTTCTAGCTCTAAAAAGATGCCTACCTTATTATTTCCTGAAATTCTTTCTGTTTCATTTTCAATTTCTTGTCGAATTTCATCAAAATCCGTGTAAAGCTAAAAGTTTTCGAAATAAAAAAGCATAATATTCAAAATAAGATCAAAAGTTCTTAAGTTGGAGGGGAAGTCCATATACTTCAAGGATGTCTACGTATTTGCTTCAGAGAATAAATAAATTCAAATGTATACATATCATTTTCTGAGCTAAGGACTCATAGTTTTTTTATGAGTTGTTTTTTGTTTGTTTGTTTGGCTTTTTTTTTTTTTTTTGAGACAGGGTCTGACTCTGGCATAATCATGGCTCACTACAGCCTCAACCTTACATCCTCAAGCCATCCTCCTGCCTCAGCCTTCCAAGTAGCTAGGACTACAGGTGCATGCCACCATGCGAGGCTAATTTTTTTTAGTTTTTACAGAGACAGGATCTCCTTATATTGCCCAGGCTGGACTCGAACTCCTGGGCTCAAGTGATCCACCCATTTTAGCCTCCCTAAGTACTGGGATTACTTGCATGAGCCGCTATGCCTGGCCATTATGAACTTTTCAAAGCTTCCTGATCCCACAACAATTAAGAATCACCAAATCACAGAGAAAATCAGCCTCAATTTCAACTGTTTTCCAATAAACTGTGGTTGGAAACGTTACTAAGATTTATTTTATAAGGAATAGTTATAGTTACTTCAAAATAACTTAATTGCCAATGATTAGAAACTAAATTATCAAGTATTCATACAAAATATTATTTTCAACATTATTTCATTATACACTTGTGTGATTACCTTATTTTTGGTGTGAAGAAATTTACCCCATTCTTCTGCTTCCACCCCTGGAAAAAGAAAAACTCATTTATTAGAAACTATGGAAACTACTTTTTATCTTTAGGAATTCAAAAAGGCAACATAATAAAACACTTGTTAACTTGTATTTAATTCTGCCATTAAGTATAAGTTAACAAGTATTTTAAAGTCTGCTAAATTATATTTTTCTAAAATTGTATTTTCTGCTAAATTATATTTTAAAAATTGTATGGTGTATTTCAAAAACATGACCAACTTCAGGCAGAGCTGCTCACATGTCTTCCCACCAGCTGAAATCTAGATTTTGCAAATAAAATTGTTTATTTCTCTTCATTTTTTTGGTGAAGTTATATTACAGTAAAAGGAATATTCTTTGGTTTTAAACATCTTACGTATAAAAGCAGTTTTCTGACGAAAGTAAAGTTAGGGGCTAAGAAGAAAAATTAAGAATCCCACTGAGTAGTGCAAAAACCGTATGTAACAGATTTACACATATGACTCAAGGAAAAATTTTACAATGTGTCAATGAAACAGCTAATTCTTCAGTTCTTTTTAAAAATTTGGTTTCCTGTTGGTTACCTGTAGAGTCACAATTTGCTGTTCCTTTAAAGAGCTCTCTCATTATTATAGAGCTAGCTGCTTTGTAATTTACACACACTTTCAAGGTGATTTTCCCCCAGGGTCAAGACTTTTCCCTTGGAACTGGAGGCAGGAAAGAAATAAAATGGAAGAAAAGAAAAAACAAGAACCCTGGTATATGCAGCGTAAGGAGTTGCCACTCTCCATTAGTTTCCAGTCATAGGTCTGTTCCTCTTGTACTTGCTGAAAGAGGAAAATAGATTCACTGTTGCACTGTGTGAAGTAGTCTAAAACTTGGAGAGCAAGATACATTCTGTTTTTCCTAGAGAAACTAGAACTGTTTAATTGTGGAAAGATAATCTAACTTTAATCTCCTCCAAACACAGCTGTTTTGCTTTTGTCAAATTTAGAGAAGGTTAAAATATCTTAATAAGTTTATTGAATAATGCATATCAGCCACCTGAAGTCTAAATAAAAATGATTATAAGATATTCAGATAAATAGAAGAGTGAGTCAATGCTTTGGTGGGATAAAGGTAAATAAAACCGGATCCTTTTTGCAGATAAAATGCTCACCTACTTGTAGCTTAGTACCTTCTTCCAAGAAGTCTCATTGGAGGACTGGAGTAATCTAGGTGAACAGAACTCACAAAATGCAAGTACTACATACCAAAGAGCTGTTTCTACTTTATCTTATTATATTTAAAAAGGCCTGACTTCACAAGCACGTCTTCAAAAATAAAAATAAAATAAATTACATTCACCACCAAAAAAGCTTGCATTTTGATGCAATGCCAAAAAAATAACAAGAACCACTAAAACCTGCAATCAATGTGGATGGGCAAATAAAAATGGAAGAAAAAAAAATGCACACAGCCTGTAATAGTACATAAGCACACATGCAGGCATAAGAGAAAAAAAGGGTCAAAAGCAAATGGATAAAGGAAACCTTTAGAAAGGTGTCTTGAGTTTTTCCATGTAGCAGGGTCTGTAGTTAAAGAGAAACAGCACAGAATAAGTTTAGTGCTTATCCCTAAAATTTTAAACCTTATTAAAAATTCAAATGTGCAGAAACCTGATCACATTTCAAATGCACATAGCATTCAATCATTCAAAATTTACAACTAGAATTAGAGGGACGTATATAATATTTTTAAGTCACAGAAACAAAGCATATTGCTTGCCATAACTTTTTTAGGAAAAAACCTTTCCAATATAATTAGCTATATCTGCCTTGTCTGAAGGTAGTTATCTCAATTGATTGTTCAGCCAGTTACAGATAGAACTCCTTGTTCTACTCTTTCCCCCCTTCTCACTACTGCACTTGACTAGTCTAAAAAATAAAAATTAAATTTTTAAAATTAATAATAAAAAAGTTATGTCACCACTGTTTCTAACTCTGACACAAATGAAGCACAATCAATCCACTATTCAAAAATTTGGGACAGGTGTGGGGCTCACACCTGTAATCCCAGCACTTTGAGATGCCAAGGCAGACTGATCACCTGAGATCAGAAGCTCGAGACCAGCCTGGCCAACATGGCAAAATACCGTCTTTACTAAAAATACAAAAATTAGCTGGGCCTAGTGACACACACCTGTAATCCCAGCTACTCGGGAGGCTGAGGCAGGAGAATTGCTTGAACCCAGGATTACAGGCACCCACCACCACGCCCAGCTTATTTTTGTATTTTTAGTAGAGATGACGTTTCACCATGTTGGCCAAGCTGGTCGTCTCTACTAAAAATACAAAAACTTAGCCGGGCCGAGGTGGCAGGCGCCTGTAGTCCCAGCTACTCGGGAGGCTGAGGCAGGAGAATTGCCGTGAACCCGGGAGGCGGAGCTTGCAGTGAGCTGAGATCCGGCCACTGCACTCCAGCCTGGGTGACAGAGCGAGACTCCGTCTCAAAAAAAAAAAAAAAAAAAAAAC